TTTTAGCTTTATCTTACTTAGAAATAACTATACTTCTTCTATTACTATATAGAGTATAGTTTAGTATATTAAGTTCTTTTCTATTATTATAGCCTATAGATTATTTAGAGAGTAGTTCTAGAAAGATTCTAGGGAAGCTAGCTCTTTATAGGTAGACTTAGTCTCTAGTAATATATCTTTAAATAGTAAGTTAATAGTATAGGCCGCTAATAGCCTTATCTTAGGGACTAGCTAATCTTTTATATTCTTAGGGTCTAGAAACCTACGGAACCTAGACTCTTTATTATCTACTCTAAGTATATCTTATTTCTATCTTAATAGAGTGTTAGAGATAACCGCTTTAGATCCCGGTTAGTAAACTAGAGAGAACTAGTACTTAGATAAGGTTTTATACTACTATATTTAGTATTCTAATAGATAATACTTTATTATAAAGTATTTAAGATTCTTATAGTCTATCTATATAGTAAAGGGACTATACGCTTTTAACTTAGAGTTCTAGAACTTTAAGTAGAAGATTATAGCGAGTATCTCCTTATTATAGATATTATAGTTAATCTCTACTTTATTTAGCTTCTATAAGAAAAACCTAATAGATCTAAGAGTTCCTTTATTTTTCTAAAGTAGTACTTCTCTAAGCGCGAACCTACTATAGTCTATCTTAAGAAACGTCTTCTAACGAGGGTCCTAGTATACTATAACTAGGGTCTCTAAGAACTTCTTCTTTAGGGTCTAGAATAACTCTTCCTTATTCTTTCTCTAGAAGAATAGAGTATTCTTACTAGTAAGCGCCGTAAGAGGCCCGGCTAGCTTAGAATAGTTTATAATAAATATCTAGTAGTAGTTATAGAATCTAAGGAACCGTTATACTTCCTTCTAGGTATTTAGCTTCTACTAGTCCTTTACTACTTCTAGCTTCTCTAGGTTAGAGTCTATATCTTTTCTATTAGTATATATAATAAATCTAAGATACTTAATCTTTTTATAAGTAAACTTACTTTTCCTAGGGTCTAGGTAGAGGCCTCCGTTCTAGAGCTTCTAAAGAATAATATATACTTTACTAAAGTAGTCTTCCTTCGACCTATTTAAGTAGATAATTATATTATCTATATAGACTAAAGTAAAGTCGTCTAGCTATTCTTATAGTAAGGAGTTAATATACTATTAGAAGGTTACTAGAGCCCCTAATAACCCGAATAGATATACTATCTATTTAAATAACCCTAGCCGAGTTCTAAACGCTATCTTATATTTATAGCTAGAGGCTATATAGATCTAGTAGAAGGCGGTAATAACGTCTACCTTAGTTAACTATTTAGCGTCTATTAGATTTTAGAGAGTCTCTAGTATTAGTAGTAAGGGGTATTAGTTAGGCTTAGTAATAGTATTTAAGGCGTAGTAGTTATAATAGAACTAGAGTCCTCCGCTAGACTTTCTTATAAATAATATAGAGGCCGTAGCTTCTAATATAGTATACTAAATTAGCCCTTTTACTAGGAGGTCTCTTAGAAGTTTTACTAGTATAAGGAGCTCGTTCTTTACTATACTAAATAGCCGCCCCTATAGTAAGTCTATTAGTATTCTATCCGCTTTCTTATATATCTTAATTTTATAATTAATCTCTAGTTAGTACGGCGTAAGTTTATCTACTTTCCTTTTAGAAAATAGTAGAGCTATATTCTAGAGTTATAGGGGTAGTATCTTCCGTATCTATTCTAGTAATAGCTCTTTCTTCTTCTCTAGCGCCTTATAGATATTCTCTATAGATACTATATTTACTATAAGAGTCTCTTTAGAGTTCTTATATTCTTTTATAGGGTCCGTCTACTCTTTAGCGGTCTCTAGCTTATAGTAGTTAAGACCTTCGTCTATCTATTACTTTACTTAGCTATAGTAGTACTATCGCTTATCGGGCGCGGTCTATATCTTATTATATACTTTCTAAGGGTTTCTAAGGATAAGCGGGAAGACTAAGTTAGATACTATATAAGTATAGATATCTTATCTATAATTATCTATCTCTATATAAAACGCGATAACTCCCTAAATTTTAGAGTTATTTATAGTATCTATTACTCCCTTAATTATATACTTTATATAATTTATATAGGGGAGTCCTAGACCTTCTATTAGATCTTCTTAAATTATAGTATAGTACTAGTAGTCTTTATTAATAAGTATAAAAGTCCTAATAGCTTTTTAGAGGACTACGTCCATATATATAAGGTTTCTATCTATTATACTTTAGAACTTAATCTATCTATCTACTAGTATATTCTCTACTCTCTACTCTTAACTTTAAGAGAGAGTTATATATTTTCTAAGTACTTATTACTAGAATCTATAAGATTATCTTTAATCTCTAATAGAGGTATAATTTTAACTTAATTAATCTTTATAATTCTTTTAGAGGTTAAGGAGGGATTAGTATATAGATAGTCTTTAATCTAGTATTCTAATACTCTATAACGGAAGTAGAGCCCTTCTTTCTAGTATCTATCCCTTTCTACTTAGTTAATCTACTTTACCTTTAGTATCTCCTCCGTCTTATAGTAGAATCTAGATTCTTTCTTCTAGTCTCTACTTATATATATAGAGTCTATAATAGTATCTCTATCTTTATTCTTTTTAGCTATAGTATAATACTTATATAATCTTATAGCTACTATGCTTTTTATTATAGTAACTATATTCTTTTTCTACTTCTTATTAGCTACCTTAAACTACTTAGTATCTTCTAAGTTTATTATAATTCTCTTAACCTCTTCCGTGAAGCTATAGTAGTCTATAATTCTTAGTATAGAGACTATATATATATAAGTAGGGTTTAAGAAGATATTTTAGAGATAGCTAATTTTTATACTATCTTTCTAGTTATCTCTATTAGCGCTTAGTAGAAGCCTATTAAATTTAAGTTAGTATTTATACTAAGATTAGCTATTTATATATTTAAGTAATAAAAGCTTTTCTAAGGCCTTAGCCTTCTTATTACTATCCGTAAATATATACTTAAGTTATATAAAGAAGGCTTTAGGGTTCTTACCTTTTATAGAGTCTCCTCTTTCCTAGAAGTATTATATTTAGTTTCTCTTATAAGCTAGTAGAGTATTATAGATAGCGTTCTAGTAGTAATCTAGAGATAGCTTTAGCTTAAGCGTGGATTATATCTTATAGAAGCTATATAACTATAATAGATAGTCTTAGAAGGTAGCTACTTTACTATTCTAGAAGGGCGGTTTCTAGTCCCTAGGTCCTAATAGTTCCTAGTTAGTTTATAGAGTTAAGGTTATCTTTTTAAGTAGAGACTTTAGTAGTTTATTTATAGTAGAGCTTAATTAATTCTAGAAGACTTAGTTTCTTATAGTAAGAATCTCTTATTTAAGAGCTTACTAGCGCTATAATAGATTAAAGATTATCTCTTTAGCGCTTTATAACCTAGTATTTAGACCTAGGTCTTAGCCCGGCTCGCCTCTAGTATTACTCTATATATTATCTCTAAAGTCTATAGTAAAGTACTTAGAGAGTAAAATAGAATTAAACTTAATATTATAGAAATACGATATATATATAGACGTAAGAGTATTTATAGAATATAGTAAGTTTAATAAGGGAGGTCTCTATAGTATAAAGTATATAGCTAGAGATATATAATATAATACTATCTTATAATATACCCGGACCTCTATATATAGAGATAATTACTTATCTATATAATAAGGACCTCTAATATTATATAGTAGCTTAATAAGTATTCTAAGAAGATCGCCTAGTAGATATTTATATATCTCTCTCTCCCCTAATACTAATAGATCTAGATATATATATTAGATATAACTAGATATATACTAGATAGACCCTAGTATACGCCGGAAGAACTCTAGAAGAACTCTAATTATTAGTTAAAGGGTAACCCTTAACTAATAACCCCTATACTCTATATATACTATCTAAGGGTAAAAATAATAGTACTATAGATTATAGATCTATAGATATTCTTAATAGCTATATACTTAAGATAATATAGAGACTTTATAAGATATAGTTATAGAAAGAAGAGAGTTTTTCCTTTTATAAAGGTTTCTTCTTATATAATAGCTTAGACTAGAGAAGATATATATCTATAGAGTAAACTACTCTACCTAGTTATATAATATTATTATTATTATTATTATTATTATTATTATTATTATTATTATTATTATTATTATTATTATTATTATTATTATTATTATTATTATTATTATTA